TTGAGTAGGTCCCTAGGTGGTTTAAATTCACAATTGGATCCGGTAGGTTATAGGGCGGTGCCACTAGAAAGTGAGCTATAATATTTGACAGACTTCATAGTGGGGAAGTTAAGTTAAATTACATTGTGTAACAAAAAACTTTACCTCAGTGTCAACTAGCGACATCTGGTGAGCAGAAAATTATTAGCCCTCCTTAGCTACATCTTGTGAGCGGAAGATTATACCTAATAATTATGAGCCCTTATTTGTAACACACCTGGACCGACCACTATGTAAAAAGTTTACTTCAAAATAGTAATATTTATTGATAGTTACAATTAAAAAAAAACAATAACTTTGAAAAGTATCTATGCTATAGGTTTTTACCCCAATTTTTCCTCACGGTAAAAAAAAAGTCAGCCGGTATAATATTATACAAGAATTGCACATTTGAAAGTATTATGATAAGCCTATAAGTGAGTGTTCCTTCTTGTCGCACAGTTTGATGACCGGCCAAATTCCTCCAATGACGCTTTTTTGTAAAAATTTTAGATAATGATCCTCGTGGAGCAGAGGGCGAGTTCTCCAAGCGTTCTGATGCCCCTACCATTTAATAGACTTGAGCTCATCATTATTCCTCTTTCTCATCCGGTCGTACAATGATCTAAGACTTATGTCGATGATCTAAGACTTACGACCTTGTACGATCGGATCCACCACTTCTAAGTCCACCAATGTCATCTTCCTGCGGTCTCTAAGATTTTAGTTGTACAATATCGGACCCCTAGCCTTTTTACCCAATCTAGCTCTCGGTACATACGGACTTCACTGATTCTTCATAGATGCGTACATTTTGCCCCTGTTGCCCCCCGGGTGCTGAAATATCTTCTAATACGGTTGATAGGTTCCGACAGTATTTGTAGTTGTAGCCGCATTTCATAAGTAGGTATTTATTTGCACTTAATGTAGATTATAATTTATGACATCCTCTATTTCTTTACTAAGTACTTTATACAAAAAATATGTAGGTATTTCAATTTGCCGTGATTTTGCGTCCTGCCTAATACTACAGAATAAATAATAGCTAATACTATCTAGTACCTAATACTATATATATAGTAGTGCTAACCTAATCTCCAAGTATTCAAAGTAATTTTGAATCAATTGTTTTTTTTTAAATTACTTCATAAAAAACAATTTAGTTTTACAAGGGGTCGCTCGACGCCTGACGGCAGTGTTGAGCTTATGAAATATATTTTAATGCCTGGGAGAGTTCACAAGATGCCTTAGGTATTTTTTGTGATCTTTGCATTTTCGATTGTGTTCATCATGAGACATTAATTAGGAAACTATAATATTACGATGTAAAAAAATTTGGCGCTTAGACTTATTACTTCATATTTATGTAACACAACTCAAAAATTCGTGATCAATAGCAAAGGTTCATCCGGATCGGTAGTATCAATGGGCGTTCCTCAGGGCTCGATTCTTGGCTCATTCCTGTTCTTAATCTATATTAATGACTTACCTTATCTTGTAGGGAACAATCACGATATAGTATTATTTGCTGATGATACCTCTTTCATTTTTAAACTCAAACGGCAGTCAATCAATCATGACGATATAAGTAATGCTTCATCGAACTTAGTACATTGGTTTAACGCCAACAGTTTGCTCTTAAACGGCAACAAAATGTATAAAATTTACAATAGGGTTTTACCTAATGTAAAACATTCGAATACCCATGTGCTCTTTAATGGGGAGGAGTTGAGTCTAGTGGATACCACTGTATTTCTTAGTATTACTTCTTGTACTATTATTTATTCTGTGGTATTACTATTGATGCGAAACTTCAATGGGCCCCCGATATATCGAAATTAGCAAGCAGACTTAATTCTCCAGCATATGCTGCAAGAAAGATTAGAAGTTTGAGACAGCTAGATTAGTTTATTTTAGTTACTTTCTTTACTTTTCATAGCGTAATGTCTTATGGAATTTTGCTATGGGGTAATGCGGCTGATATTGAAGCCATATTTGTTTTGCAGAAGAGAACCATACGGGCGCTTTATAACTTAAATTGTAAAGAGTCCCCCTCAGATAAAATTTAAAGAAATAAACATATTAACTTTGGCATCTCAATATATTTATGAAAAAGTAATGTACGAGTATGTACATAAAAACATAAATAGCTTTAATAAGAAAAAAAGGATGTTCACACTTTAAACACTATGAACAATGAGCTAGTAATGTCAGTTACTAGACTCCACAGAATCAGTAATTTATTTATGGGGCAATGTATACGCTTTTACAACAAAATCCCAGAACATTTTCAAAGTTTATCAATAAACAAGTTTAAAAGTTTTATTAGAGAAAAACTGTACAAAAAGGGTTATTATAATATCAAGGAATACATGAATGAAAATAACCCCTGGGAATAAGGTTTCTTGCTGTTTCTTCCCAGGACAGAGGTATTTTCCGAACCAGTGGTAAATAAAAAATTACTTTCAATAAGTATTATGTAATAATCAATATTGAATAAAAAATCATTCTATTCTATTCTATTCTATAAGTACAAGCTAAATATTTCGATCTACATAATATACTGTTTAACCATGACGCAATGAAAGGGTCTGAGCTGGGCAAAAGCTGCTACCTTGATTTTACGAACTTTACAAACCCTTTTAGTCAACTTCAAAAAAGGAACAGGGTCTCTGAGGCGAATTTGGTGGTTCTGCTTTTATTAAATACTTTAAGCTTCAGAAGTTGTCCCATATAAATTTGGAGAAAGAATTTCACCACTAAGGGCGGGGAAAAGGGGGTTGAAGTTTATTTTTATTTTTGTTTTATTATTATTCACGACTAAAGAGTTTTACGTAAAATAATACATAAATAAAATCAATAGAACCTAAATGTCACAGTATTTTTCCAACTCTCCTCCTAATGGTATCATGGAGTTACGTGATACGTATAGCCACGCTGCAGTCCCGGTATTACTCGTAAAAACTCAATTATGGAATCCATTGAAGTATAATGCATTAGTTTAATGATGTAATCACAGACTATGGAATAGACAGTTCAAGTCAAAAGCGGAATTCAAAGTTCTATTAGGTAGTATTTAGTCCCGCTACAGTAAAACATTTGCGCTTGACGTATTTTCTCGTGATAATTTGGCCTTAGATATAGCATTGCAATAACTTAGCTTGTTCTAAAATTTGACACTTCATGTAGGGACGGTCATGGTACCAACTAGTCGAAGGGGCTACATCTTTTCAAAATACTCAATGACTCCAGCGTAACCAATAAGAGGCTCTATAAAGGTCAATTTTGATTAAGTTTATTTAAGCATTTAATTTGTGATCATGTCATACATGCCAATGCAGATGTAAACAGTGCAGAAGTTAAATGCTCAGCTCAGTTACAGTATGCAACGTCACAGATCGACCTTTGTAATGTGATCGTCAATCCGCCAAGAGTAGTATGTAAAATTTTCCTTCCAAATATAAAGGGGCATTATTTAATAAAGAAATAACTAAGAGTCTATGTCTATAAATGTTTATGGGCCACAGCAACCACTTACCATCAGGTGGACTGTGTTCTCGTTTGTCACCCTTATTCTATAAAAAAAAATCATATAAATAGGAAATTGACTAAATTAGTTGTTTCGTTTAGTTCCTTCTTTTTTTTTATTGATAATAAATACATAATTTAAAACATCTATAATTTAATGATTTTTTTTGTTGGATAAAATTGGTACTATTAGGTAGAATTTCTCTTCCTAAATCGAGGAAAATCCGACATGGTTTTCGAATTGTTGGGATATCAGCGCATTTCTTGTTTGGCAACACCAGATTGTATGTCAGGGCTGCCAGAAGATTATTTGGATTACATTACTTTTTACAACTTCGCAAGAATTTAGGCACAACAACTTTTTGAAAAATTACTAAAACTAGTTTACCACAATTTTGAAATTAAAATACATTTTAAATTAAAAACTCCCACTTTGTTTTCATGTATTTAGTATCACGTAGTAGAATGTTGATAATATTTGAATATCACAGAGATCTTAATAGGTAGGTATCATCGCCTGCTCTTAAATTGCCTCATGGAGAGAGTTTTACCATAGTTGCCACGCTTGGCCGTCGCAACGCAACCGCAGTTTTTTATTATTTTGAATTGTTATTAGGAAGATGCTGCTTCCCATCTTCTTTTTCAGTTCCCCTCTGTCACCTCTTACGGCACCCGCGGGACGATATGGGGTAGTGGATGTTCTTACACCACTACTACACGGTTTAGGTATAGGTACTTATGCGATATGTATATTTCACACATATTTTATTTAACTATATCCTATATTTTTATAATAATTTTTTTAGTGTTTGATGTTTTATTTTCACGAATATTTTTTATGACAAGTGTAAAGTGTTAGTTCTATATAAATACATAGCATTTATAGCCTCAATTTATTATTTAAACCTTTTCAGTTGTATAATTGATACGCAAAAAATCGTCAAACGTTATTTATAATATTATTTATAAAATTAAAAATAACTTATTGTTATTTAATAATTTAATTTATAAAATGATCACTAAGTAACTTTTAGTACATAAAATGTAACTTCTAAGGCATGCCAAGTTTGCAGCCATTCAGGCCTTGCTCCCAAAGAGCATATAATCACTACTTTACTTGCTCCTCTCAGTCATGTCAAGTCCTGCTGGCAACACTAATGTTTAGGTGATAATTATGTGGTAATAGTCCAGTTCAAGTTTGCGAATTTGTCATCTTTTACTTTTAGATTTAGCGGCAGCTTATGAATAAACTATGACATTTGATATTGATAACATTAATCAATTAATTAATAAACATTCGGAAAACATGTACATAATAAAAATACTCATTTAGAGTGTGAAATCTTGTGACATTCGGTAAAGACGGGTGCCTTAACTCTCCTCGCGCCTTGTACAAATAGAAATAATATACGATAATACTATTGTAACATTTTTAATATTATGTTTATTTTCAGGAACCGACGAAATGGCGCTAATACTACAGTATATAAATGATATGCATGTATTCATGGACAAATATGGAGGTAATATTTTTGTTACACTGGTAGTAAATAAATACTTTAAATAATTAAAAATAATAAAAGGTCGAACCTATAGAAAACTACTTTTGAAATACCTACTGAAGTTTAGATTGGTATTCCGTGATAACGGCTTTGCCTAATGGTGGCGGCTTAAGAGGACCTCTCACCCTATTTTCTCTCTTCATTGTCAAAGGCAAACCATCAGAATGATCTTATAGCTTCAGATTGATGACAGTATAACCATCTTGTTTACTTTAGACCTTAAATGCCTAGACCAGCCGTGGGGAGCAAAATCAAAAGTGTGACTTCTGGATCTGAAATCGCTAATCTGCCTAACAACCATGTCGATTAAAGGCGCCTCCTTACAATGGAAGAGGCCCATGTCCATCAAAAGATTTTTATTGGCTGGTGTAAAAAAAGAAGATAAGTGCTTGCTTAGAAGTGTAATTTGGTTGATTATCAACCTTTTTTAATTGAATTATTTTCACTTTATCAAATTATAGACTAAGAATTATTTTATTTTGACCTGAGTGTTGCTCCAATTTTTTTCTACATCACTATCCTGTTAATCTTGAAAAATTATTGCACATTAATAAATTAAGTAGTACAGTTAATCACGGCCTAGTTACCTGCCCTAGCTATGCACTGAATACTATGCATAAATTTTTATGATTTGAGCAAAAAACACTTCAACATTTCTCAACTATCCTTACAATAATTATTAATATACAAATGAGTTACATAGTGTAGTGGTGGTGTAAGAATATCCACTACTCCATATTGTCATAAGAGGTGACCGTGGGAAGTTTTATACATAGTAGAGCTATGCTGCAGGTACATTATAGTTTTAACATGTAAGGGTTGGCTTGAACAGGAAAGGACAAAGCTCTCACAGAATACCAGCGTAAAATAGCCTCTTAATGCTGCTGTGTTTCATATGGTGAGTGTAGAGAACCCTTTTACTGGAAACGAGGCATTCCATTTTAGTCCTCAGGGGTGACAATGCATCTGCATTTTGATTCTTTATTGAGGATAGATGCAGATGTTTATGGGTCGCAGCATCCACTTAGCATCAGATGGACTATATGCTTGTTTATCACCCTTATTGTATATAAAAAAAAGGTAAAACAGGAAATGGGCAGCAGCATCTTCCTGATTACAATTCAAAATTAATCCAATGGGCTTGTAATTATATAATACAGGACACACCTGGCCGTAAATTAATCAGTGGGCTTTTATAGGCTGTAATGGATAGATGGATTGTGTCTTCTTTTGAATTTTTATATTTCTCTCTTGCAGATCCTCGGACTAATCCATGGTTCCTGATGAGTTCTCCATTTCCAACATTAATAATTTGTTTGAGTTATGTCTTTCTAGTCAAGGTAAATAAATGATTTTGTCTTTTAATATATAATTTAGTTCGTTACAGTTGACGGCAAAGTTATATGGTGCATAACAAACAAGATACTAATGTGTATATATATATATCTTGTATATTAAGAAATTACAATATTGGGTAGGAGAATCCATCACCCTGTGTTTTCCCATATTTACGAAAGTAACACTGGAAATAATAAGCAATTAGTACCCCCTCCCTTTATGGCTTGTGACTTCAATGTTGTTCTTTGTTCACACATTTCCACATTGGTCTGTGACTTGTCCCATGTTGGTCTAGAACTTATAAATCCTATATTTAAGTGATTCTTTCAACAAAAAAGATTGTGCCAACTGTTACTAGCAAGCATGTGAAAGGTGACTAATTAGATATTGGGTTTGTCCTTGCTTAGTCGATGGGTTAGACACCTATCATTTTTCTCACAATTTACCATATAAACCCATACTGTATTAGCTAAACATTGCCCAAAAGCTGCTGCTCTTTGGATTCAGTCTGCTCCCTTGGGATCACAGGTATGACGATATGTATGTATGCATTGTCTGCTAGTGTTGCCCGTAAACATTATCATAGCACACATGTGGATGGCATTGTTTTTAGGCATATTATTGATAAGTTAATGATTTAAACAATCTTATACACTTGAGAATCAAAATTCACTTCACGGATATTTGTATAAATTATTGTTGATAGTACACTGTAATATACTATAGAAATAACACAGTATCTTTTTCAGGTTTTAGGACCCCGATTTATGGAAAATAGAAAACCATATGAATTAAAAAATGTTTTAATAATATACAATTTTCTACAAGTATTATTCAGTGCATGGTTATTCTATGAGGTAAGAAATTCTATTTATTTTGCATTGACTTAGAAATATAGTAATTTAAATGTTCTTTTAGTCTAAGACCTTAATTTTTTTATCAAATTGACTATTTTATTACAATTGTAAACAGTAATTAATTCCACGGCATTTGTCTCAAGTTAAGGGGAGAGTCCAAGCATAGATAGAAACTCTTCTAGGAGGCTTTAACTACCACCCAGATTAAAACTAATATGTAATTAAACAATTGCTTACCTTGCTAGGTATCTTACTATGTATTATATAAGTAAGTAATTAACGAACAATATAATGATTCTTTGTGTAAGGAGTTGTTATGTAGAAATAATTTTGATTGCTTATTTTATTACTTAGTGTAAAAGACATAGTATTATGCTTTTGGTGTGATTTAATTATCTTGCAAGCCACCATGACGCAATGTCTATTAAACTAAATAAAACTTATTAGTATTTTTAAATGTGGATTTTTTATGTGTGAATTAGAAATTACTAAAGCAATCAACTAACTAATCAACTGAGTTATCTTTTCCAAAAGTTTCCATTTATGGTTTGGAAAATCTCTATTATTGAAATTTGTTAATGAAATCTTTATTGTTTATGTGATATTGATGAAAGTCAATTAACTTTTTGAGATTAATCTATCAGGCCACTTTCTAATCTTAAATTTTTTATTTTGTTTTATTTGTGAATATTGAATAACTATTTGATAGTTCCACTAAAGAGCGGAGCTGACTGGCTGCGTGGTTAGTATACTATGTGCAATGTGTGTGAACATAAGTGTCATACATTATAAGATTATAATCTTGTGTCACAATTTACACAAGTTGTGAATATCAGGTCTGCTATGCTCTAAAACCAGACCCGATAAATAAACAAAACACACATCAGATAATTGTCCAACTGCAAGGCACTAATTGTAAATCTACAGTTCATATCACTCCAGTGCATATTGGCACACTTCAGATTTTTAGGAAGTATGTTATTTATAATATTATTAAACAGGCATGCGCATCTTCTAATGATTTTTAATTTAAAATTTGATAAAAAAAATGCCTTAGTCATAATGCCGCACTTTTTATGTTTGCCCTGCTTTTTAATATACAATTTCTATCATTTAATATAGTTTAGCTTAGTTTACGACGGACTGTTTTCTGCAACTCCACGTCTAAGCGCGTATTTTGCATGTGGGCAGGAATAATGTAATTATTCGAGTCTATTCAAGTCCTTTGATGTTGTGTGCAACTTCAGGGAGTGATCCAGGCGTGCCGTGATGTTTAGCCCTGTGTGTAGCGACCTCCGGACATGTCAGCAACACGTGGGGCGTCGTTTCTTCCTCCCCCATACATGCCCTGCACAGGGGACTATCTGTAACACCTATGGTAAATAAATGTTTGTTAAAGTTGCTGTGTCCTGTGATAGTACTTGTTACTATCCTGATCTGCGGCTGGTTCAGTCTCATTAGAACCTTGGTTAAACGACTGTTTATTTCAGGTAGGGCCTCCCTAGATTTTCTACAGTCTATTAGATTTTTTCAAAGCTGAGTGTGCTGATCAGTGGAATGTCTACGGACCAGTGAACGAAAGATTGGTTCCGGCCCTATAGTAGCCAGAGCTGATCCTCATCTTGCCAGTTCGTCTGCTGCATCGTTGCCTCTGGATCCACTGTGTCCCTTTATCTATTGCAGAGTCACATTATTGTTTACTTACCTCATTTAATTGTTGATGGCATTCATATTAGTCCCGAGTTCACCACATTGCAACTCAGAGCTAGTAGTACCGCTCTACTGTCGGTCAGTATTCTGATGGAGAAGTCATTAACCTGCCTAGCATCTATTGCTATGGCCGCTTGAATTATACCCATACATTCCTCCTGAAAGACTGTGTTGTAGGTACCCAGCAGTGTGCATATGTGGATGTTGAGATCTTCAGAAAAAGTTCCAGAATCTACACCTTCATTTGTTTTAGAACCATCGGCGAAGACTCTAAGCTCTTTTGGACTTAATCCCTCCGGCTGGCTGGTTTCATTTAATTGTATCTTATACTTACTATACATACTTATACTACAAATTGTTTAGGGATCTTATCCTACTTGGCTTGTAAGATAGGAATTTTTGAATGAATTCTATCAATTATGCCTGTGTGAGGGACTCTATTCTTACTCCAAAGATTTAAGCTCTTGAGTCTAATGGCATATATATATATATTATCATATCATTTGATATAAAACATTAATAAAACCAGAGGAGTACTCATGTTTAATTGAAAAGATGGCCCTTGTGTCTTATTAGTCTGCAGTGACTAGACTTATTATTGTTATTATTATAATATACGAGGGTGGATTGAAAAGTACTCGGCCTAACCAAGAAAATAAACACATACTAAATCAGTTATATTTTTATTTTTCTACATAATCACCATCAAGTTCAATACACTTTTGCAACCTCCCCTTGCAGGCAGGCAGTTAAGACAACTGATAATGCCTGTATTCTGTTTTTGCCCACTAGTTACTCCTTTTGCAGTTCAGAAAGTAATTATCTAATCTATTTTTGAATTGGTTCACATTTTTGGCTGAGACTGTTCTCTGGCAGCTTATTCCACTCGATGACTACACAGTTACAAATGACGTGCTTGTGAGGGTTGTTGTTTGAAAAGCTGGTACATAGCTTAAGATGGTGGCCCCTGAGGTGAGTGTTTTCATTACAAATAAACAATTTGTGAAACTTCTCAAACTAGAAAAATTACTCCTCGTAATGCCCATTTAAGATCTTAAAGGTCTAACATTTTAAAGTTTTAAAACTTTCAAATGTTCTTCATAAGACTACCGTTTCAATAGCAGTGAAGCTACGCTGTACTTTTTCCAAAGCTTCAATGTCCTTGATATAGTAGGGATTTCAGATTTGAAATGCGTATTCTAATATTGGCCTGATAAATGTTTTGTGGATCGTAAGCATCATTGCCGGTGTTAGGACAGCAAAAGCTTTTCTCACGAGGTAAATTAGTCCCTTAGCTTTCTTGACAATTGTTGATATATCTGTTTGTACTTTAACTACTGTAAGTGACGCGCCGACCAGAGTATAGGTAAGACGAGGGTTACGGTTAAAAATTGCCAGGTTAAAAATTAGAAAACCAGGTTTTGACATTATACTTTCCATTATGAAGGCTGGTTTACTCGGTTTTGTTATGATACTGATCCAAATGTTTAAGGTCCTTTTTTGAGTGTATCATAGAACATACTTCAGTCACTTGTGAGTCTGTTATTATTTCTACCCCATATCGTCCCATGGGTGTTGTAAGAGGTGACAGAAGGAAACTGAAACAGGAGATGGGCAGCAGCATTTTCCTGATAATAACTCAAAATAATAAAAAACTGCAGTTTCACAAATTCCCCCCCCCCCCCCTCCCCCCCATGAGGCAATCTATAGGGGAGGCCTATGTTCAGCAGTGTACTATTATAGATTTTAATCGATTATACTATGTTATTATAATATTAACAACATCCCTGTCCGTGCAAAAGACACAATAGTTAAACAATTGAAATGTTCATATATTAGGTACTCATGGGACAGTGAAATAGTTAACTTTAAAATAAATTCCAAATCCTGTGAAGTTTCATTCGCCGTTTCTTCTCCGGTCATGGGCACCTCTATTCGAAACTAGTAGATTTGTCTGTCCTAATGTTTCAAAAGTACAACATCCCTTAATTTAATTAACCCCAAAAATTAATTATTAAATAAACCTATTCTATATTATATTTATGTTTAAAAAACTACCAATGAACATTGCCAGGTTCATACACTTATTAACTATTGCATGTACTAAATAAAAATATTTTTACGAAATAAATATTGTAATTCTACTACATAAACATGTATTTAGGTAGAGATTTCCACGATAACATGGCCTACCCCTCCAAATTACTAAAACAACAAACGTATAGTTCTATATCCGTACGAAGGAGTTTGTATAAATATTCTTCTACAGAAGCAGCCTGGCAGGCAGCCTTTTTGATCATCATCATTACAGCTCTTCACAAGTCAACCAGCAGTGGACTTGTGAAGGGCAGTAATCCCCAATAAATGCCAAAGAGCCCTGATCCATCGACTTCTTGCATGTCTTACCAGGTCGTCACTCCATACACCTCATCTACAACGATACGAGGCTACCATTCGAGAACCTTTATTTCCCATCGGTTGTTCGTTCTTCGAGTTATATGGCCAGCCCAATGCCACTTCAGCTAACTAATCCGTTGGGCTATGTCGGTTACTCTGGTTCTACTACGGATACACTCATTTTTAAGTCTATCAAGCAGAGAAACACCGAGCATAGTCCTCTCTATAGCTCGTTGCGCGACCTTGAGCTTCCTCATACGACCAGCAGTGAAGGACCACATCCCAGATCAACAAGTCATCACTCACACATCACAACACGCACTGGTTGTACAATCTTGTTTTCAAGTTTTGAGGTATACCTGATGAGAAGATGTGTCGTAATCTCCTGAAAGCTGCCCAGCCGAGTTGAATCCGTCGATTGACCGAAATTACTCGTCGTCGATTGATTGAATTCTCGGTCGACGTTGGACTTACCTAGTCCGACTATTTGTCCCAGGTAACATACTCGTAAACAACTTCGAGCTTAGTGCACCCAACAACTACTGGCTGTTTTCTCCATGTTCAGCTTAAGATATGTCCGTTGGGAGACACTATTAAGGTCATTGAGCATAGTGCTCCAGCAATTCTGCCATAAGGAGTATCCTTTCCAGTCCAGTAGCTTGAAAACGTGTTCCAAAGCAGCGGTGAAAAATTTCACGTACTGTGGTTCTGTAATCAGATAGCCATCATAGCCCTACTGTAGAACATATTTAAATACTGACAGTCAAGTTAGCACCGCTGAAGGTACTGTAACATCGTCCGAATTTCGGCGGAGTCAAGGGCTTTCTCATATTGCACATACGCAAGGCAAAGCGGCAGATTGTACTCTTCGGTCTTCTGTACAGTTTGAAGAGTATGTATGGGGTCTATGCTACTATAGCCTCTTCGGAAACCAGCTTGTTCGGGGGCCTGGAAATCGTCGAGTCTGCGTACGAGACAGCACGTAGACGCGGCTCAGAAGAGAAATCGGTCAGTAGTTCTTCAACAGAGCATTGTCGTCTTGAAGAACAAGACCACCGCACTTCTGCTCCACGCCCCCGGAGTAGTGCTACCATGGAGAACGGAATTAAAGAGCCTCTGAAGGACTTTAAGTACTGCTTTACCACCCGCTTTTAGAAGCTCCACTGTAATTCCATCCTCGCCCCGGGGCCTTCCCGTTGTTAAGCCTACCACCTCCCACTGCATGCAGTTGGAGATCTGTCTGTTCAGCTGCCTGTATGCTGCCATATCTGCTGAAAACTGCAGCTTCATCTCCCGTCTAACAGCCATGAGATTAAAGACTGTGATCGAAGGGTTTTTGGGTTCTTCTGAGACGAGTTTTGCAGAACTTAGCTCCGACCGCTTGGACAGTTTGCACGTGCTTGTCATTCATATCGTCCACTGTATTGCAGGCTTTTTGGCTCGGATAATTATTTTGTAACTCGAACTGAACATTTTCAGACCTTTGGTTTAGAATACGAGGGGGACCCTTGAACTTAACGTTTAGGTTCAGTGTGCCTCTCACCATTCGGTGATGGCTACCAGTTTTCACCCTCGAAATCACTGAGACATCACTGGTCAGTTGCCGTCTAGTCGTCGTAATGAAGTCATTATTTTTGATCAACTAATCATAATTTGTTTAAGTCCCGAACGCAGCGAACGTGTTCTTTGATAGAACGCACTACTTTAACTACTGCCATTGTGACATACTAGTACAAACTATTAAATAACTGTGAAGGGGTCATATTATTGAAGAAAATCTCTACTAAACTCTAAATTTAACAAACTTATTTAGAAATAGATACATACACACACACACATACACACGCTCGCGCCCCCACGCACACATTTTGTTAAATATATTAAATGTTCTTTCTATTTTCTTGAGCCGATTGCACTATTATATAACAATATGGAACATTCGTCCAAATGCACTTCAAGCAAACTCCACATCGTTGCTTTATATTTTTATTGTTACATAAAATAGATTATGAAACTCGGTAGATAAAAGACTATTGCGACGTCGTATTTCAAAAAAAAATCTATCAAGCCATTTAGATTTCACTAAAACACAAATGAATAACACTTTTTTATGGTCAGTACAATTAAAAATAAAATATTCATAAACGTATTCTTACGAGACAGTAAATATTACGATTAATACTGTTTGTCAAAATGTTTTCCATTAAAAATATAAAGTACTTATATGTACAATTACTTCATTTGGAGAAAACGAAATGTAAATCGAAAAGAGAAGCATATTATGTATTAAATAATAGTCATAAAATAATTTTGTTTTAAAATAATACACCCAGAGCTTGATGGGGGGCTGGCTGAACCATTACAGCTTAAGATGCCAACCGGTTGACTACTCTGACAGTCCTGTAGCCACTAGAGTAAGTGAACAATGTTACCATTTCGTCCTGCGGCGATACGAAAGCAAATTCAACTAACCTGATTTCATTGTAAATAGACATCGATCATATTATTTTCAGGAATCCTGTACATAATATTATATTTTTAGAGGTTTAAGTTAAATAAGTTAGTATATTAAACTATGCCTAAGACTACAAAAGGGTTAGTAGATATAATACTAACACAAACTTGGGTTGGTGCATACACCATAGTCAAGAAAAAATGTATCTAGTGTGTACATATTATGTTGATTATGAATATTCTAGTTGTAGTATTACTATTTGCCGGTATGAGGTGATTAATCCCGTCAATCTACTGCAATGACAACAAACCATGCATGCGTCGGAAAGCGCGCTATAAATACAAATATCACAGGGCCAGGTGTCGGCATATTGTTTCAGATCGGGGCCGCTGGCTGGTTCACAGGCAGGTATAACTTTCACTGTCAGCCGGTCGACCACTCCAAACATCCACAAACAATAAGGGTGAATTATTAGTTCTTCCGTTATTATACTGTCGAACCCTAAAAGACCTCAGTTTCACGTTTGTTTTGCTTACACCAACTCCTTCCTCATCTTCATGCCGGGACTGCCACCTTAATTTGTTTCAGAATAATCTTACCTAATGTAAACAGGGTTAAAAGATTTAAATTAGTTGTGTACCTTATATTGAAAAATAAAAAAATTGTATTACTTACTTCTGAAAGCTATTTTTTTATTTCTCTAAGTCCTAGTTTTTAAAACGCACTGATCATTTATAACAAATATATTTTCACTTATAAACCTTCAATTAATTTGACAATATTTCTGGCGATACTTTGATGGTAATTATTTTAATATGAAGGTAGCAGTCCTTACACCTTCTCTACTATCCGTAATTAATCTTAAAAAGCAACTCTTCTGTTAATGTTATTTTAATAAATGTTATTATTATTTATAATAACAGGCAATATGTGGTGATTTCTGAACATGACATTTTATATTTTCCCTCGCAGATATCTGCCTATCTAGCCCCTCGATCTAAGTCAAAATCATTCATTCGCCTTTATCATACGAGTTATCATAATTAATTTCATGACACGCATTCATCAAGATAAGCAAATGTATGTTGATGGATTAAAATCAATTAAAATAATGTTGTGACACTATATAAAACTATAAATCACAACTGCACTTTGACTTTTCTTTAACTTTATAATATCTAATCAGTATTCAATGTTTTTAATCCATCATGTTAAGAGTTCACTATAACATTATTAACCGATAAAAATTACTTTTTTTTAAATTTTGCACGCTTAATTATGCATAAGCATCTTGTAGTCTAAAATAATCTTAATCAGCAGGAGCCTGTCCTTCTCGCTTAAAATTCACTTATTTGCATGTTAGTTATTATGTATTGCAGAAGTCTTTCAGTTAGCTGTATGTTAACAAATTTAGAATAATTTAAAGAATATGGTTTTTTATAAATTTTTCCATACAAATTTTTAATTTGCATAATTAATAAAAAAAGCCTTTTAAATAAATATGTCATGTGGAACATGAAAATTAAATTTGTTAACATAAAGCTAATTAAAGGCTTAAGAAGCGATTTATATGTGAGTATGTATCCATAAATTTAATGTTTTTTTGTTTATCTCTTTTGATGAAAACACCTTTGGTATATTTTAATTTCACAATAATTTTTTTTTGAAATAATACATAACAGTGACTATTTTGATGATATACTAATTATTCTTATAAATTTTCAGATGGTACATGCTTGTTGGTGGTATTATTTCTCAAAATTTACAGAATTTTTTGATACGGTAAGATTTTATTTGTATATTATATTATGCATTAATTAAACATTTTAGACTTTATATAGGATTTAAGGAGGATAAAAAAATGTTAAAAGTTATTTAGGTAGGTACTGATTTAAAGTTTCATGAATTTGACTTTTGTAAGTGTACTTGCACTGACTGTGAATCTTTTTATACATCTTATGAATACTTTTTTATTTATATTCTAAAACAATTATTAAAATGTTTTTTTTTTGTTCCAGATCTTCTTTGTTTTAAGAAAGAAATTTGATCATGTGTCAACACTGCATGTCATCCACCACGGAGTAATGCCAATGTCTGTGTGGTTTGGAGTTAAATTCACTCCTGGAGGTCACTCAACGTTCTTTGGGTTGCTGAATACCTTCGTACATATCATTATGTACACATACTACATGTTGGCGGCAATGGGACCCCAAATGAAAAAGTTTTTGTGGTGGAAGAAATATCTCACAACACTACAAATGGCAAGTTTTTCCAATAATATTTATTATTATAGCTTGCAAGTTATTTTGTGTTTTCATGTTTTACAATTTCATTAATTAAATTATCGTATTTAATATTGGGGCAGCACGAAATAAAGGTCGTATAGATTAGCACTATTTAACACGCAAAATCCAAGTCATAGTAATCAAGAAATGTTGCACAAAAAAAAACCTAATTTAAGCTTATAAAATATAATTTAAACTTAAAAATGTTGTACAACCGACTTCAATATTATTAAGAATAACTCAAAAACTATTGATCATACCTTGAGTAAATTTATATGGGACCACAGGCGAAGCACCAGCTTTCAAACGAAAAAAGAATCATTGAAATCGGTTCACCCAGAAAAAGCTGAGGTAACACACATAAAAAAGAACATACGGTCGGAATTGAGTACTATCTGCTTTTTGAAGTCGGTAGAAAATAACAACAAACGAGTACACACACAGTCCACTTAATGGTGCTGAGGCCCGTAGACACTATTCTCAATTAAGAATCATAATATGGATGTTTTGTCACCCCTGAAGACTAAAATGGAATGCATCTTTACTAGTAAAAACGGGTCTCCGGGTCTCTACACTCACCATACGAAACACAGTATAGTTCTGCCGTTTCACGGTGGTTTTCTATGAATATATATATATATATATGTTACCGCTATTTTCGCCCGTATTTAAAAATTGAATTAATACACAAATCACATAAGAGTATCATCATATAATTATTTTCAATATCCTTTTCCCAATCCTTATCCTCAAGAGTCGGTGAAAAGAGATAGCATTCGCTGCAACTAGAAGATTCAATGCAAAAGACAACGACCATTTTTGAGCTGTGAACTGTTTGTGTGAATTATATTTGGAAAACTATTGTCAAGTGAGTGGTGCGTAAGTAAGAGAAAAGACCAGCCGAAGCACAGAAGGAGAGCTGAGCTATCGGGTAAGTCACCGACTATTCCCTCCTCATATCATATCATAATAGTGCCTTTTCCTCACAAATATAGAACAATTAAATACATATTTAATGATATTAAAAATATCCATTTCAATGAAGTGCAGTGCTCAGTGCCAAAATAATCACAACAGGACATTATGGAATCACTTCAGTGGCCGTCCGACAAGCAATTTTTATTTTAATCAAAACTAGTTTATGTAAATTTTGCATAGAGGCTTGTATAATATTATGGTGTGGAGGGATTTAAAAGTGTGTATTTGGATATTGAACATTTTCATAAACATCAAACATTTTGCTTTTCACATGGTAATCCTCGAATCCGGCAACTTGTTCTATTTCCGGGAGGGTGACCATTTGTTCCAAGGTGTTGTCGGATAGTCCATAAGTCTCTCATTAACAACGTTGTAAGGTTTGGGAATTTGAGACGACGTTGACCTAATGCTCAGATTCACCAAACGATATTCGTTGATAATCACACATGTTTACGCACCAATCTTGGCACATCCTTTTTTGAAACAGACTAGTTCAAACCTGAACCTGCAACTAATAATAAATCACTTTTTGTAATAAGACAAGGTATGTTTATTCCGTTAATGATCAGTTAGATATCAGCTATTATTAATGAATTTATTTGTAACTTGCAGGCGCAATTCATCGGCATCATGGTTCACGCATTCCAGTTGTTGTTCATCGAGTGCGACTACCCGCGCGCATTCGTGTGGTGGATCGGAATGCACGCTGTCATGTTCTTCTTCCTCTTCAAAGACTTTTACAATCAGTCATACTCAAAACCTAAGGTAACCTTCAATTATTTTCCATTACCTATATATATATATATATATATATATATATATATATATATATATATATATATAAAAGTGTATAGTAATGTTAATTGGAAATCTAAACCGTGATAACTAATAAATGGTTAAAATGTTATAAAATGTGGTATCAATTTCAATTAGCAAATTACATGGTTGCCCTCTTCTTATCAATGGCATTTGAGGAACACAGCTATAATAAGTTAACATGTAAATGTTCTCGTTTAAGGGCAAATTTTGAAATAAACTGTATAAATTTTCCACCCAATAAAAGAACTAAATAAGAATGGCAAACCACAAAATGATAATAAATTATCAAGTCTTAATCTCTTGTAACGACATGTCAATTGAGTGTGAAATTACTAAATGTTTTTGTGTGGTTTGGTTTTAAAACTTTCTTTCAAGAATCAATCGATGATGAAAAAAAATATCTTTTTTCGGCAGATGGCGAAATATTCGTCGCAAATGGTAGAAAGACCAAAATATAGTATCTAGTATTTATCAATATTATTTATTATAGCCTCTCCATCCAGTCATGTGGGTGTCTTCAAGGCGAGAGTGACCAGGCTTTTGTTAAACTAAGTCATCAGTGCTTGAAGTCACTTCCAAGTTTTTCTATTTTTCCAATTTGACATAATTGAATCAAAATAGTTTTTCGTTTACGTTGAATACGACTGTTAATTCTGACGTTGTTTATAATGATTTTTTTTTATTTCACTATAGCATTTAATTAATAACGGGGGGCCCGAAGTTGAGGTTGAAATTTCCAGGTCGGAAGCGAACAAATCAAAAACACACCATGCGTTCATTTTCTGCACCTAGTCCATAAACATCGTTGGCTTTGACTAGGCAATCTAGTTTATTTGAAATTAAAATTGCAAATCGAACTTACCATGTACAGACGTTTTAAGAATATCTACTACCCCATATTGTCCCGTGGGTGTAGTAAGAGGCGACCAGGAGACGAAACGAGCAGAGCAGTGTCTAATTAATAATAACTAAAAAATAAAAAAAGCGGTAGCCAACCATCTTGTGGAGTGTAGCAACTATAAGAAATAATAATATCCTCCAGATCGAATTTCCGGCGGCCGGTCTCAACGCAGACTAGCCATCTGCGTAAGACAGGATTATACTCGTAGTGCCGGAGTGTATGCGCAAGCGTGCACTTTCTATGCCTTCATTCTCATAGTTTAATGGGACGGTTATCCGACAAGACCAGAGAGAGAACAGGCGCAGGATCTAATGCCAGGCTTTAAGTGCTTTCCGAGGCACGGGGGTGAAACATCACCAACTTCCTGACTCCGGGTTGCTACTGAGGATTTTTTGACAGATAAACCTAGTAACTGATATTTATCTTCCTTATGAGGCAATATATAATAACTAGCTGTTCCCCGCGATTTCGCCCGCGTGTTATTTGGAGTTTTTATTTTTTTGCGTGGAACCCTAATTCTTTTTCTAAAATAAAAGTAACCTAAGTTACTCCTTGTCACATCAGCTATATGCCAGTGAAAATCCCGTCAAAATCGGTCCAGCCGTTTCGGAGATTAGTCGGAACAAATAGACAGTAAGACAGACAAAAATTTTAAAAATTGTATTTTTGTTATTAGTAGGTAGGTACTGTATATATTTTGATCTGCATTTAGTAAAAAGCTGTAATTTTGACATTACAAACAGACACTTTAATTTTATTTATTTGTATAGATTAGAATGATGATGTAATTATAATACAATATATAGTAATTAGAATAATGATGATGAGCCACTATTGACCTCAAACAAATGTCAACTGTACAAGCATAAATATCCTTTTGTCTTCAATTTTTAAAATATTTGTGGGCCATACAAATACTTGTTACGTGCGGGATTCTAACCTGCACCCTTTAGCGCTGCAACTCATAGCACCACGGATCCAGCAAATTATATTTGTACAGATTGCATAACGTGATAAATTGTTCCAGGTGCGGGCGAGGTCGCCGCAGCCGGTGACCACGGACATCAAGGAGGTGTACACGAACGGCGCGCTGAAGAACGGCTACACGAACGGGCACGCGAGCGCACTCGGCTTCGTGCGCGCGCGCACCGTGCTGCCGGCCGGCAACTGACCGCGCGCGCGCCCGCGCACCGCCGGCCCGCGGACTCGCACGCCGCCGCGCGCCCACTCGCACTGTGATCGTAGGGACCACTCACACCCCGGGGTGTCGGCTGCGAGGGCTACGTGCCCCACGTGACAGTGAACCTCATATAGTGTTACCGTGAGAACAGCTACAGCAAGTTTCACCAAACCTCACTCCAGAGTAATGTGGACCAAAGTTTGTTCAATTGTGGACTGTCTTTTGGTTTTACTGTTTAACAATTTTTAGTTGGCAATGAAAGTTAACATTTCAATATTTCTGTATATTGTACATACTTCTGTTATTGTGGATTTTTAACTGATATGCATGTATAATATATCCATCCAGGTACACCATATTTATGTAACAACTTTTTATTATTGAATTAATAATTAATTTATACAGGCGATTCTTGTCTCCATAAAAATTCTGAATTTAAATTATTAATTTGTTTCTTGATTTTTGTTTATGGGCCAGTTTTTATGTAATAAAAACGCAGTAAAATATAATTACGACAAAACTCGAAAGAAATTTAATAAACTGGTCAACAGTTATTTGCATTCCAAAAAACTTGTTTATCACTTTATATTTCATTGCGTTATAATGTCTAATAAAAAATATACATGTATGTCAAAAGACATACATGTATAATTTATTAAAATATTCCAAAGCAACTATAATCAATCAAGTTACCAGCCACTTTTATCTAGATCTTTTTATTACATTATAGATATAGGTAGATAAACAACCATAGATTCTCAATTGCTTACAGTCCACAGGGATATCTGGGTTTTTTATAAGACTTACTTTTTCACATAGCCTTGAGCTATCACTAAACAGTAACCCATATATTGTGATTTCAATGGACAAAGGGAAATACTCCTAAAAGTACGTCCTGCGACTCTCCGTCGCAACTTCATTAACTCTAAAGTTAGCGATAAATGTGATTTTACCTAATGTATATATTAGAAGGTATCAATGGTGTAAATGTTATTTTATTGATACAGAAGTAGATAGATTTGTGATCGCATAGCGTTTTGTACTTTATTATATTTACATATTATGTTGCTTTTAGAAGTTAGACGCAGAAAAGACAATACATACACATTGTTCCGAAAGGTGCTTTAATTGTTCCAGATAATGACAGATATAATTAGCACCATACCACAAATGTTTATTAAAGTTTGTTAAAATATTAATGATATTACAAATAAAGAAGACTAGTTAAAATTAAAATATTCAATAATTACGTTATTCGGTCCGAAAATAACTTTCGTTTTCTAAATTTTATTATTGTTGGTATTCAAAATAATTATGAAAATGATATATTAATTTTAAGTCTTATCAGTCTGTATCCACATTGCAAATCGGCCAATGTGAGTAAATATTATTACAATGTAATTAAATAATTTCTTTCAATTTATACTATAATATTACTCAACTTATTGCAAAAAAAAAATATTTTAATTTTTAACTCTTTTTCCACAAATTATTATCATTGGCCCATTTGGTGTGAATGCAGCTAAACAGTATTTTAATTTCACATCAAATGTTAACAGAAAATACTGTTTCAATGCAATTTAGATAATTATCAGGGTTGTGTTGGTTATTTTTTTTTTACTTATATTTTATTTATTGCAATGTCTTTTTTTATGGATTTATCCCAAATCTGGTCATGCTTTGCGGTCACTCTGCGTTTTCATGGAAGTCGCAGTAGAATTTCGCTTACAAAGCGGTACCAGCGGCGCTTTATACTTACTACTTAAATAAAACAAGTATTTCGAGTTATTGTTAACCTTATATTTTATTGGTGTAGTTCTTGTCCAGATCATGTTGGTATATTAGTTCAGTTTCATGAGGATAAGTTTGCAACCAAAGTAAGGCAGCTAAGGGATTATAATATAAGCATTATTAGAATTTTTCTTCGTTGCAATAAAATAAACCTCTTAGAATGTTTATAGTAATACATAGAAAATGATTGTAATCACTATGCGATTCGAATAAGAATAGGACTAACCTAGCGCCATATTGTGACTTCATAGCTGTCAACTCAAATTAGTTAGGTAGGGTGAGCAAAACATATTTTTGAAAAAATATTTATTTACAAATAAATATAAAACAACCATTAAAGAAAAAGTTTTAATAGGAATCAGTCACTTCAATTCCGTTCATCTCTGTATTACTGTCAGAGTAAGCATTATCGTTATCATCGTCACTGCTGCTTTCTCCTATACAAATAGAACGTGTATTTATGTGGGTATTTAAAAGAAAAATAGGCATTTTATTATCCGTGTTTATAATAAAATTATCAGTCTTAAAATATCTTCCTTTGCCGGTTTTCATTTTCGATTCGTTTAACGTGGTTTATTTCTTTCTTCCAATCGTTACCGGTAATTGAAGCAATTGTTTGTAATGTAAGGCTCTCAATTTGGCTTTCTGTTTAACATTTTTGTCTGCTACCCTACGATTTATCAAATGCCCGATATATTCAATTGGATTTAAATCGCAATTGTGCAGCCTCAAAACTTCGAAACCATGGTGTTAAAAAAGCTGCCGATGACTTAGTTTTTTGGCGGTTGGTGCCTTTTTATTAACCGCTTTTTTCCGAGTTCCACTTTTGTAAAATATTCTTGATATTCAATATTATTATCTTGCACCTCTCCACTCGTGTCGAATACGAGTTAAAGTATTTTTATTTACACCAGTGGCCAAATAAACTCACTCGGTCACACAGACAAAACGCTTGCGTACATTTCACGAGTCAAAATTATATTTCCATCTGGTCTTGAGGAAATGTTTGCTGTGCTGTTTCTCACTCTTAAAAGGTTTAAATAATTTTTTAAACTAATTATTACCTCAATAGATTTGGTATTTAGTACTCGGTTAGATAAATATAAAAGTGAAAAATTAATTTTCTTTGCAAGCCGTACTTTTCAAGTGATAGTTGATAGGTTGCGTCCATTCGAGGTCATTGACGTTCGTATTCTTATTTGAATCGCATTATATATAGAGACACGTTCAGTTCTCCCATCTGTCAGTCTTCCCGTTTTTGTACTTACCAGAGTTTTAAGGTGCTTTTTGTACTCCGAACAATTATCTGCTAATTTAGGCAGTGATACGCTAAGCTCGCCATTTTGTAAATATACATGTTATTTCGTTAGGTATTATGTGTACTAATGCAATTTTTATACAAAAATTTAAATAAAATATAAATATAATCTGTTATTTTATATGCTAGTATATAATTCAATGTATATCCCATAACAACCCAAGTTCTTTCTTAAATATTTTCCAAGCATGAAAAGTTATTTACATATTTAATTTTACACTGAAATTACCATTTATATAGGTGTCATCATTAGATATTTAATTTATACTACAAAGTATGTAGTTTCCGTAACAAATGGAGTGGCCACTTTGAATTAAAATTAAACCTGCATGGTCCACAATTCGTGATTAAAACTTTTACGTAAATTCAAGTTACATTTTTAAATTCAAGTTTTATGACATTCTATTGTTAGACTTTCAATTGTTTTTACATTCAGTAAACCAACAACAGATGGGGAAGAAAGGTTCTCGAGTGGCAGCCTCGTAGCGAAATGTACCAGAGTGACGATATGGTAAGAGATGCAGAGTCAATGGATGCTGGTGGCTTTTAAGAACATACTTCGTGGCATTCTTTGGGGGAGGCCTATGTTCAACAGTGGACAAAATAATAATAATAAAACACACTTTTAATGATTTGAACTAACAAACCCAAAATAATTTTCATTGTTATTTTGTTTTTGGACTTGGATGCATAATCGATACCTTTTTTGGAAGGATTTATGACTGATGGTTATTTAGGACATAAGAAGATGCTGAAAAGTTCTAGGTCTCAAGTGCTATTTTAAAAAAGTTGAAAGTTAAAATCTATATACGTGTCACTGCTGGGCACAGGCCTTCTCTCATTGCTGAGAGGGATTTAGGGCAAGAAAATGTCCGCCGCGCTGCCCCAATGCGTGTTGGCGAATTTCACATGTCTTCTAAAATATTTTTTTCTTATTTTTCTGACATGCAGGTTTTCTCACGTTTTCCTTCTCTGCCAGCACGTGGTAAATCAGCACTTAAAATTGTAATTAACAATTTCATTCGTGCCGGTGGAGATCGAACCCGGGTTGCTCGCGTACTGTGAAATTAATTTACAGGGATCGCTTAGCCCCTGAGCTACCACGGCTCTCGTAAGTGGTATTAGTCATAAATATTTATTTACAATGTTCAAGCGATCTCTCTCGTAACGTGATATTCTACCTTAAACAAATATATTGTCATAGAAGGCACGGCAAACGGTCTACCCTTTCAAGTAGGTGACAATAAATTTCGCTTCGAATTAACTCTGGACTGTCTACAGTGTAAATATAAAATGTATTAATAACTCTTCTACAGCGACACCTATCGGAGCCACATTTTGTCATTGCATTTGACAAACAGTACTTTTACAGTCTATCAAAGTCCACTGCTGAACAAAGGTCCTCCCGATAGATTGACTAATAGGGAGGATAGTTGCCACGCTTGGCAACCAACTTAGCAACTGCAATTTTTTATTTTTAGTAGTTATTAGGAAGAAACTGCTGCCCATCTCCCCTTGGTTTTTTTCCCTCTGTCGCTTTTTACGACACTCACAGAAGGATATGGGGCGGTGGATATTCTTACACCGCCACTCCACACACACGGACCTTACTTATGGACCAATAAGCTATAGTATATAGGATATATTATCAATATGAGTCATTTTATTATTATTAGCTATGAAACATCATCTCCACAAAACAAATATATTGTTAACTAGCTGTGCCCGCGGCGTAGCTCGCGTATATAGATTTTACATAAAGAATTTGTCGTTTAGGTAAGAGAATATTAAACGATTTATATCATTACTGTATCAATAAGTGGTAACAAAATGAATCGTTATCTTTTAAGTTCTAAGTAGTTTATGATAGAACTTCGGTGTAAACGACGTTAGAAGTAGACTTAGACGGGGTGGGCACAAAAAGGTTACGGGGGCTACTAACGCGGGAAAAAGCAACATAGAGTTGGCCATGTGCAAAACAGTCAGTACTGAGGTCCACTCTTACAACGCGTAAATTTTGACCTTGCGCTTTATTTACGGTCATCGCATAACACACGCTGACTGGTAACTGGGAACTGAACGCGCTTAAAACTGAAAGGAAAGTTACTTCTTAATAGAGGGTTTTTTGGCAGTGCTGCCAGATCAAAAAAACTCATTCAGCGCTAGGACAACACAAAAAGCGCTAGATTTCATGAAAACAGCGCTTTAAAAAAGCCCTAGATTTCGCGTTAAATTAACTACAAACAAAGTTTGTGTTTTTTATTATAATTTATAATTCAAGAAAATATAATCATAATAAAGAAAACAACATTAAGTTCTTTTCTGGCAATATTTTTTGATGTATCAATACTTCGCAGGACATCGACTTATAATTATGGCAATTGCTGTCAACAGTAGTTAGTACTACTCTAAGTAACTTTTAACTTAGCTGTGCTCTAAACAACTGACTAAAACTGAATAAAGCAAAATAAATGCGTTGCCAAAACCATGAACGAAAACTTTAATGAAGGGGATTTCCCCGCTTATAGTCGTCGATAAAAAAAATCAAGTTGATCATCCTAAAGGGGAAGCCGGGAGATCCATAGCACAGGGTATCCTAGTTTGGACTCGTCTCCCATGCTCTATGTTTTGTGGAAAAAATATGTTTGAAAAAGATAAACTGCAATGTACTATTTGTGGAAAAAAATAATAAAGAACATTATTATTATTATCGGTAATGTGGACTAACAGTGCTGTTATAAAAGAGTTAATAACCCGCTAGTCGCTACAATTTTGAAATGTGTGGTAAATACACCAAAAAGCGCTGGATTAAGTGCTAGGTGCTAAAATTTCGAAATGCGCGCTATACATTCCAAAAAAGCGCTAAATCTAGTTCCCAAAGCGCTAAAATGGCAGTACTGATTTTGCGTATATTATAAATACAATATCACGACATTTCGTTGCAATTTTGTTATTTTTGTTCGGGTTCCGTTGTATGGCTTCGATAGATACAAATTTCTTCAGTAAGTCTCAATACGATTCATCGGCGAAAAATCTCAACACAGCAAATCAGAAAAGTTTGTAATTTGTACAACTCCATCTATTACGTCCTTTGTGTGAGAAAACATCCTTTTTTAAATCTCTTTTTATGTTTTAAGTATAAATATATTAATTATTATGGAACGTTTTTTTTACACACAAATCTTTTTATTACTATTTCTGAGATTTTTATGGCGCCATTGAACAAATTCGAACCTACATTTTAAAATAATAATCATTACTTTCGATAGAATTAACCAATTTTAATAAAACTAAGATTAAATGTAACTTGAAGATACGCTTTATGATTTTCTTAACGATTTCTTTGAAAAAAAAAAGATGTTTACTTTAGACTTGATGCATTCATATAAAAACAGACAAACAGACAGACAGACAATTCTAAAAATTATAAAAATGTACTTATTGAATTATTTTTAGTTCCCCATAATGATTTTAGTCACCAAAATATATATACAATGTACAGAAAGAGACACAACATGTTATCATCATTTTTATTATATGTATATATTTAATTAAAGAGAGATGGCGCTGCTAACATCAACTTGATGACTCAAACAAAGCCACCGTTGAGCAAATTCCCTACCCATACTTCAGAATATTTATCATAACTTTTGATGGAATGAACCGATTTTAATGAAATAAAGACTAAATGTAACCCGAAGGTACACTTTAGAATTTCCCTAACAATTCTTATGATATAAATTAGTACTTTAAACGTGATACGTTAACAAACAAACAGACAGACAGACAGACAGACAGACAGAAAATTCTAAAAATGGTAGAAATGTATTTAATTACTTATTTTTAGTACCCCTCAATCACTTTTATTACAAAAATATAAAATGTACAGACATCTGCTATTTACAGTTTTATTATATGTATAGATATGACCTTAACCGGTTCAGTGCGAATGGCACGCCAGGCGTGCCATTGATTACTTTTGTGTGTGACGTATGACACGCGAGTCGTGTCTTTTTAAAAATCGTTATAACTCTCAAATTGCTTTTTTGGAAGATTTATCCAGAACAAAATATTCATTATTTTGCAAGTAGTTCGTGCCTACAGCTTCGTTTCAGGAATTTTTAGGGGTTGACAACCTTTTTTTAACCTGTACATGGTACTCTTTTTACTTTGTGGGTTTTAAATCATATTATGGAAAAGTAGTCTAATAAGTAACATATAATAGCACTCATTGCGATCGCTCACAAACTTAAGTTGTAAACAAAATCAATTTCTGGAAAACAAGTCTGCTGTTAAAAATAACAATGCGTTTATGTTATTGTTTAATTTTGCTTAAAATGGTTGAACTGCCGTCTTATAACTATCATATGGCTGAATAGACCTACGAAGTACCATGTGCTCTTGTGATATATAAACCTTATAGGTTTATTTATGCTTGAAACAGTTCGAAACCATTCATGCAAAAAAAATTTCGCTAATATATTTATTAGCGAAATTTTTTGTCAATCCGCCGCCATATAGCGCCGGCGTTTTTTTCCTTTTGAAAACACTTGTTTTGCTATTCTTACTAATTAGACGTTTTCAGATCGACTTCATTTTTACATTTGTATAAGAATAAATAATATTTAACATTTGTAAATATCAATGATTCATAAAAGTTATTTTTTTTCTAAATTAAGGTTCTTGATTGTTTGATATTTACAAATGTTATTATTAGGTGAAAATTTAATTTAATAAAACCAAGGTTTTCCAGGGTGATTTAGCTGTACCTACTTATATAAATGATTTTATTATAAAACAAAAATAGTACAAAAGGTTTGTAATCTCTGCATAAAAAAGTCACTTACTCTCAATTTCAAAGAAAACATGTAGTAAAGCACGTAGTTACCCACTAAAAACAAGTATCCTTCCGTTTGACGCTTGACACGCCAGGCGTGTCATGTTCGCCGCCAGATAATAAAAATTGAAGTCTGATAGTTATTGATAGGTATTCTCCAGACTAACCTATTTAGTACGTCAATTAATTGAAAAAAAAAATTGTTTCTGTGCAGTGCAGTCCTGTGACACAGAAATCCAAACACTGGCATTTTTTTTTCTGTTTAATAGGTACAATAAACAAAAGATGTAATAATTTAAAAATATATTTTTATAATAAGTGCAACAAACAAAACAAATATCTTTATTTAAAAATATATTTTGTAAATTCAGAAGACTAGTATAGATAGATAAGTTCAAAATTGTAAAATCATAAAATAATGAAATCATGGTTATTTCCACTTACTTAAATGCGAGGTTTACGTAAGGAATTTTAAGTACAACATCGATATTATATACACAATTCTTATGATCTAATTACGCGGATTTAGCGCAGCGGAATCCTAGATTTCCTGCGGAGCTATCATCAGTGTTATAAGACCGTGCCGAACATCTGTAGCGATAACAATACGAACGATGACATAAATAAGACCCTCCTTTCTTCACTTTCTCTTTAGGCTAAAACAATTTCATTACAATAGCTAAGTATATTAATTCACAAACATCAACGACTGCCCGAAAAACCGAGCTAGGCAACTGAGAGAGACAATTACCTAATTATTATACCTTTGTAAACTTGACGGCATCATAATCTCATATTTCCCTATTTCCTCCTCCAAAACTAGGCTGTTTTAAATTTGTTTTAGAACTACTATAGGAAGGATTGTGGCAATGGTATGCTTTTCTGCTATATTTTTGTTTGTTAAATTTGTGATGTCCAGCAGTATTACTAGGCAGTTTTAAAAGGTTGCTAGCTTTTTTTATAGTTGATTTGTGGAAAAAAATAAAATATAGGTACCTACAGGTAGGATATATAGATTGTTTCGTATATATTTGCACTTGTGTCATTATCCAGGTAGCAAACAGAGGAATACATTTGTATGGACTAAAAGCTGTGCTGAACGAGAATCTCTTAGTCCTAACACGATGTCAAATCTTTCGTTGTTCGCTTTCGACACGTTAAAAATCCGTTTGATGAGTTATAAAAACAAATTTCATCACGTCACTTTTTTGGGAATTGGTATACTTTCAAATTCAATCAGTATTATGAGCGGGCAAAATAGTAGAGCCACGCATCAACTATATTGTGGTTGAAGCACTAATGGGGACGGCTCAACCCGGGAAGTGCCACGCTCTCTCAGAATAACATTGTAAAATGGCTGAAATACAGGTTCACCTACATTAGGAGCCAGGGACTTCATACGTATTTGTAAAAAGTTATTTTTTTATTAGTAAAATAGCAGCTTAAGAGAACCGGAGACCCTTTTTTACTGGAAACGAGACCTGCATTTCGATTCTTAACTGAGGATAGATGTAGATGTCTTTGGGCCACAGGATCTATTTACCATAAGGTGGACTATGTAATTATATGTCACCCTTATTCCATAGAATACCAAAGTATCTACTGTCACTTCTGACAGTGATAAATAATTGTAAATTTGCTTTTAAAGTTTAAGTACTGCAAGAATAAACAAATTAACTTTAGCAAAAGAATGATTCTTCTTCACCAACATATACATAAGGGACATCCTTAATGGTCACGCTAGGTAGACTCATTTCCCCCCTAACGGGTTGTTGGGATAGGGGGAGGGGGGGCTTAGTAGCTGAGGCTTGGTCACTCGGTGTAACCCATCTTTGTACCCGGCAAGGCATGTAAAAAAAGGTGGACATATTTGCAATACTAGTAACTTGTGACATCAATGTCGGTATTTTACGTTTGTAAAATATAATAGCTATATCGCCATTTATCAGAGGCCATAGACCTTTTTCAAAATCCCGTGATAAAATCCCATTTTTAAGCCTTAGAGATGATATATAGAGGGATTATCTCTTACACTGCTATAAAACGACATTTATTAAAATTAATACAGATGTGAATACCCTGTGTTAGTAATAATAGTAGCTAGAAATAGCAAGTACGAGGGTGCGTTTTTAAGTTCGCGGAATGGGTAGGTAGGTAATGTGTGGACGTCACTGAATTACGTGCTAATTAAGCAACTCATTATTAGTACAAATACCGGGTTTTATTGTAATTAGATCATTAGATAGTCTCTGAGTTATCGTCAACCAAACAAGTCAATCGGGAAGAAATTGTGAAATATGGAGAAAATCGAGTTCCGTGCCGTTATAAAGTTCCTTACCAAGAGCGGAAAATCAGATCAGACTATACTGGAAGAGATGTCATCCGTTTACGGAGACTCTTGTCCAAGTAAAACTATAGTTTACAAGTGGCATACCCTTTTTAAACAAGGCAGAGAGTCACTTGAAGACGACCCACGGCCAGGAAGGCTGATCGAGGTAGTTATGTGTCCCTTACTCATGAGTTGCCCCGTTTGAGGTCTTCGTGACGGCAAATCGAAAGAGTTACTCGAATTTTAACATTAAAACACCTCACTCACTCGTTCACGACCTCGCTTATGACTGACAATATGAATCGTGTCCCGAATGAGTAAGCGAACGACTCGATTAACAATAGTTCAAGTAGGTATCTAGATTATGTATTTTGCGGCAAAACTAAATGAGTGAGGTCTCGATATTGAGAAAAAAGGTTAATAAACAACAAAAATAATTTTTGAGTAACGGAATTTGAAACAAGTCACATAAATGAGTGTGAATATAAAATCATGCGCACTTTTTGTGATCTCGAATTTTATTTGCCTCCACTGATAATGCCTGTTGTAACATAATAATATTATAAATATAATGAATATGGTAACAATACTTCCTCCTTTCAAAAAACTTCCTTGTGAGATGAATACACCGACTAGTGAAGTCCCTCTCAATATCTCGTGAGTACCTCGCTAGGTAAAATGAGGTACTCCCTCATTCTCAAATAACATAGATGAGTAACCCATGACTAGATCGAGGTGACCACTTCGGAAATTATTCAAAAAGTCGAAAAATTAATATTAGAAAAAAGAAAAAACAGCTCGCAGAAATAGTAGGAGTATCAGATACAACCATTTTCAAAATTCTTGATGACCATCTTGGCATGACTAAAGTCAGCGCGAGATGGGTGCCTAGAATACTCACGCCGCCTCAAAAGCAAGAGCGCGTAGAGTGTTCTCGTGCATTTTTGGACCTCTGTATGGAAGACAAAGATGGAGTGTTGGATCACATTGTTACTGGTGCAGAAACTTGGGTTCATCATTATGAACCTGAGTCCAAACATGACTATGCATTGGCACAAAAAAGGCACACCACTACCAAGAAATTTAAGGTGGCACAATCGGCTGGGAAAATCATGGTGACAGACTTTTGGGACTCAGAAGGAATCCTATTGATTAATTACTAGCTGTGCCCCGCGGTTTCACCCGCGTATATCACGCGTCTGCGCCTTGCGACATGCGAACTTCGAGAGAGACATCACGACGGACGGTTGCTGAATTAACAACGATTTAAAAAGTGAAATATGTTACTAAAATTACATGGTTAACGTAATTGGTGGTTATGCATGATACAGGTACTGATACGAATAATGTGGCCTAGTTTGTGCCGGCGTTACTATTTTACATTTTAACATGAAAAAGTAGTGACTGTGACATAAATGTAATAGTTAAACATATGGTATCGCAGACTTTTTTGTAGATATTGATATCCTCTATAAAACTGAAGCACATTACTTTGCTCTATTATCAATAGTTTCCGCAGCGTACGCGATATAAGGATTCTTTTTGGTATTTTTTTCACACCTTGGGTTACATTAAGGAAGTTTTCATACGGATCCCTAACTTTTTTGAAAATATTATATAGCCTATGTTCATCAGGGATAATAAATAATATTCTAATGGTAAGTTTAAAATAAGATTCTAATGGTGAAAGAATTTTTCAAATCGGTCCAGTAGTTTCGGAGCCTATTCAATTCAAACATACATACAAACAAACAAACAAATCTTTCCTCTTTATAATAGTAGTGTAAGATATAGATAGGAAACCATAAAGGAGAAAAGAAGGGGAAAATTGACCAAAGGAATCCTTCTGCACGACAACGCGCCTGTTCACAAGTGCCATGTTGCGATGGCTGCCGTGCAGAAGGTGGGCTTCGAAATTTTGCCACACCCACCCTATAGTCCTGACCTGGCCCCCAGTGATTATTATCTATTTCCAAACTTAAAATAAAAACTTCGTGGGAAAAAGTTTTTAAGTGATGAAGAAGTGAAGGACGCAGTTTCGGCATATTTTTTAGACAAAGACAAATCATTTTTCTTCCGACTTCCAAAATTTTTTTATGTGTGTTACCTCATTACATTTTACTGAGTGAACCGATTTCGATGATTCTTTTTTTTATTTGAAAGCTGGTACGTCTCGTGTGGTCCCATATGAATTTGATCAAGGTGAGACCAATAGTTTTTGAGTTATTCTTAATAACTTATATTGAAGTCGGCTGTATTTTGAGGGTATACATAAGTTTATTGAAAGAACCGAAAAATGTATTAGGGTAGCAGATGAATATATTGAAAGGGAAAAATAAATTTGGATTTTTATTTCCACTCCTTACCCCCCCACCCCCTCGCACCCCCATTCCGCGAACTTAAAACGCACCCTCTTACTAGTACTTACATTATCGTCAGACCAAGAATCTGCAGTCCACTCCCAAACATTGCCAGCCATGTTATGAAGACCAAAATCATTTTGAGCAAATAAATGTACAGGATTTGTACCAATAAATCCATCCTTTGCTGAATTATAGTTAGGAAATGTGCCTTGCCATATATTGGCCCTGTAATAACAAAATAAAAACAACTATAAGAAACTACATTTTAAAAAGAACAACTATTACACATTTGTACATACTGTCTATAAATTTGTATAAAAGATGTATTATGTACATCTATTCAGTAGGGAAGATGTCAGTCTCGTTTTTCACACCTCATCAATCCATTTAAGATATCTCACATAGCAGAAAGTTTTGCATAATCGCAATGCTTGGCCGGCAAAATAAAAACTATTTGTAAATGCAATTGTGCATGACTTAGCGCAATAAAAATATTACGTATAAAATTATACGTAAATTTTTAAAGTAGTTTAATAACACAAAAGTTTTCACTAAAAACCTTATAATTATTACTATACTTCCAATTTTCCGATAATTTTGTCAAATTTCAATTAAAAAAAAGCTTGGAAAATCCATAAATGCACGTATCATGATGCTCATACGATCGTGAAAAAATTAAAAAAGTTCAAGTCACTCCATCAAGTCCGCAGGTAAGGTCTATTCATAACTAACAAAACAAGCCCCATCTCGGGACACCTAGTTCTCCTCGTCGAGTAGTTCCAGTAGCAGTCACCAAAGTACACCTTCAGATCACTCTATCAAGTCCGGAGGTAAAGTCTCATCATAACTAACAAAACGAGGCCAAACTCGGCACATCTATTACAACTCTTTGAGGAGTTCCAGTAACATTCACCGAAGTACACCTTCAGGTCACTCTATAAAGTCCGGAGGTAAGGTCTCATCATCATCATCATCATCATCATTACAGCCTTTCATAAATCCACTGCTGAACATAGGCCTCCCCCAAGCAATGCCACAAAGCACGGTCCTGAGCCACCTGCATCGATCGACTGCCTGCATTTCTTACCAGGTCGTCACTCCATCTAGTGGGGGATCGCCCTACACTTCGCCTACCGGTACGAGGCTGCCACTCGAGAACCTTTCTTCCCCATCGGTTGTCGGTTCTTCGAGCTATATGGCTGGCCCATTGCCACTTCAGTTTACTAATCCGTTGGGCTATGTCGGTCACTCTGGTTCTACTGCGGATACCCTCATTTCTAAGTTTATCACGCAGATAAACTCCGAGCATAGCCCTTTCCATAACTCGCTGAGCGACCTTGAGCTTTCTCATCCGGCCAGCAGTGAAGGACGACGTCTCAGTTTCATAGGTCATCACTGGCAAACACGCACTGGTTGTACGGTCTCGTTTTCAAGTTTTGAGGTATACCTGACGAGAAGATGTGCCGTAATTTCCCGAACGCTGCCCAGCCGAGTTGAATCCGTCGATTGACCTCTCGGTCGAAGTTGGACTTACCTAGTCGGACTATTTGTCCTAAGTAAACATACTCGTCAACAACTTCGAGCTTAGTGCTCCCAACAACTACCGGCACAGGTGTGACATGGACGTTATACATGATCTTTGCTTTGTCCATGTTCATCTTAAGACCTATCCGTTGAGATGCACTATTGAGGTCATTGAGCATAGTGCTTAGGTCCTCCAGCGATTCTGCTATAGATACTATATCGTCGGCAAATCGAATGTGAGTGATGTACTCGCCGTTGATGTTAATGCAATATCCTTTCCAGTCCAGAAGCTTGAAAACGTCTTCCAATGTAGCGGTGAAGAGTTTCGGGGATATAGCGCCACCCTGTCTTACACCTCTCTGCAGTTGGATAGGTTTCGTACTCTGGTTCTGTACTCAGATAGCCATCGTAGCCCTACTGTACAAACACTTTAGCAGTCAACTTGGCTCCGCTGGAGGGACTGCAGCACCACCCGAATTTCGACGGAATCAAAGGCTTTCTCATAGTCCACATACGCTAGATATAGTGGCAAATTATACTCCTCGGACTTCTGCACAATTTGCCAAAGGATATGTATGTGGTCTAGGGTGCTAAAGCCTTTTCGGAAACCAGCTTGTCCAGGAGGATGGAAGTCATCGATTCTGCTTGCGAGACGATTCGTAATGACTCTTGAACAGCACATTGCGTAGCTCAGAAGGAAAATCGGTCTGTAGGTCTTCAAGAGAACGTTGTCGCCTTTCTTGAAGAACAAGACCACCACACTTCTGCTCCATGCCTCCGATGTAGTGCCACCATGGAGGACGGAATGAGTCCTTGCCGTTTTTAAGATGCTGAAGAGCCATTCTAATCTCGCTCAGACTGACGTACGAAATATCATCGGAGTAGTGTCGGATAAGACATTTTTATAGAAGAGGGGGCAAACGAGCATGCGGCTCACCTGATGATAAGTGACTACCACCGCCCATGAGTAACCGCAACACCAGGGGAATTGCAGATGCGTTGCCGGCCTTTTATAAAGGTAAGCTCTATTCTTGAAGGTTCCTAAGTCGTATCGGTCCGGAAAAATCGCTGGTGGTAATCGATTCCACAAGCTGGTTTTGCGAGGGAGAAAACTTCTTCTAAATCGCACAGTGGTGGACCGCCAATCATCCAGATGGTATGGATAGTATCGCGAGTTTTGTCGCAATGTACGATGGTGAAATTGAGCGGCTGGAATTAGTCCGAACAATTCCTCAGAGCACTCCCCGTGATAGATGCGATAAAATACGTAAAGAGATGCAACATCTCTACGCAGTGCCAGTGTATCGAGCCGATCAGAAGGAACTCGGTCGTCGACGATTCGAACCGCTCTGTGCTGGATGCGGTCAAGTGGAAGGAGCTGGCACTGGAGTGCCCCGGCCCAGAGATGAGAACAGTATTCCATGTGAGGCCGAACTTGCGCTTTGTAAAGTTGCAAGCGATGTGCCGGCATGAAATACTGTCTCGCTCTGCTGAGCACGTCAAGCTTTTTAGAGGCAAATTTGGCCTTCCCTTCCAAGTGACCACGAAACTGCACACTATTCGATATGTCGACGCCGAGGATTCCGATGCTAGCTAAGGCAACAAGGGAAGTGCCTTGAAACTGAGAAGATACGACAAAGGGGTTCTTTTTAGCGGTAAACGCGCAAACTTGTGTCTTCTGGGGATTGAACTGGACTAGATTTAGTCGCCCCAATCCGAGACTTTGTTCAGCAAAGACTCGACTTCAAAAAGCAAAGACAGACACAAGTTTGTCTCGGTACTCGCCGACGTTTTCCCGAGAAATATTGGCACGGCCGGTGTATAAGGCATCACCAGTACTGTCGTCTGCATAGCAATTAATGTTACCAGTTTGCAACATATCATTGATATGCAGGAGAAGCAGCGTTAGTGATAGCACGCAGCCTTGTGGAACACCAGCGTTGATAGGCTTGAAGTCAGAGCATGCACCGTCTACTACGACCTTGATACTCCGATTAGCAAGGAAACTGGTGATCCACTTGCACAATTTCTCCGGAAGCCCATAGGAAGGAAGCTTCGAAAGAAGTGCTTTGTGCCAGAGACGATTCCCTTGGACTCTACTGCCTCCGCCCATCTATGAGTCAGGTAGACCACAAGATCACCAACTGATCGAACCCGACGAAAACCGTACTGGCGGTCACTAATCAGCTGGTGATCCTCAAGGTACCTCACGAGCTGTCAGTTTATAATGGATTATATTATTTTGGAGAACAAGGAGGTGATGGCGATAGGCCTGTGTGTAGTTGGACGGGTCTGAGCGGTACCGCCTTTTTTAGGGATCGAGTGGACCAAAGCTGTCCTCCATGAATTCGGGACTACGCCTTGGGAGTAGGAGTACCGGAAAAGACGCATTAAAACCGGTGTCAACTCCAGAGCACACGTCTTCAGCACAATGGGAGGGACTCCATCGAGCCCACTCGACTTGCTGACGTCCAGGGAGAAGAGTGCTTTGCGAACCGAGCGCTGTGTAAACCGCAAATCCAGCATGGAGCACTCACATCGCGGAATGTCGGCGGTGTGTTCCCCCCGTCATCTAGAGTCGAGTTGGACGCAAAGAGAGAGCTCAACAGATCGGTTTTTTCCTTTGCGGCATGGGCCAGTGAGTCGTCCTCTCTGTGCAGAGAAGAGATGCCTGACAGAAGCTCCCTTGGACAGCCTTGGCGAGAGACCAGAATGCACGGGTTGCGAACTAGCTTCTCGCCTATTCTGCCGATGAGCTCACCTTGCCTTGGTAATGACGCTTTTGAAGGACCTGGAGCCGGAATTATACTTCTTTTTAAGAGCGCTGGTGTTTACATCCCGAGAGGTTGATGCGTCAGCCCAGGCCCGGTAGCACTCCTGCTTATAGCGTGATGCTATTTTACAGGAGCGACCAAACCATGGCTGGGATCTGCCTCCGATGGGCACCACAGAGTATGGAAGTTTCATACTCCAACATTTCACATCAAAAAGTTTCATCAAAAGCTGCCGCGTGGCTCTACCACTGTAAAATAGACTTGCTCTTGGATCGTTACTCACACTTACGTGTGGCTACAACGATGATGTGTACAGCTGCCCATAGAAATTCTCAATCTCACTCAAAATCTCAGGTGTTCCGGAAACGACACTGCCACACACGGTCTTCAGCTTCGACAGTTTGGAGCCCTGGTTCCGCTCGATCCCTTCTTCAATACGAGCAGTATCAGAGTTGCGTAAGTCCCGCCGCATACATTTGGAGATCTCTCTTCAATTGCCTGTATGCTGTCAAATCTACTGAAGACTGCAGCTTCATTTCCCATCTAACAGCCATGAAATTAAGAGTGTGATCAGAGAGTTTTTGTGTTCTTCTGCGGCGGGTCTTGCAAAACTTAGCTCCGACCGCATGGAGAGTTTCCACGAGCTTGTCATTCATATCGTCCACTGTATTGCAATCTTCTAGGCACTGAAAACGATTTTGTAGCTCGAGCTGAAAGGTTTCGGGACTTTGGATTAGAGCACAAGGGGGACGGAGCGTTGAATTCATTAGATGTGACCTATCCAACTTAACGTTTAGGTTCAGTATGCCTCTCACCACATTCGGTGATCGTTGCTGGTTTTCACCCTCGTGATCACTGAGACATCACTGAACAGTTGTCGTCTGGTCGTCATATTGAAGTCAATCTCATTTTTTGTCGAAACGTCGGGGCTCAACCAGGTTGCTGGCCCCTTGGGTTCCGTTTCCCTTTTCCAAATTTATCAACCTTCAGCTCACCGTTCGCTCTTTTACCTAGTTTTGCGTTGAAGTCTCTCATTAACACCGTATAGTGGGTTTTGGAGTAATGCATGGCTCTAGATATATCCTCATAAATTTCCTCCACCTCCTTATCGGGATATGCCGAGGTTGGTGCTTAAACCTGTATGACCTTCAGCGAATACCGTTTGGTGATTCTGAGTATAAGGTACACAACCCGTGTTTACACACTTAATCTTTACGTTATTAACGAGAAACTTGTCGACGATAAATCCGACACCTCCTTGGGACAGGTAGTAGCCCTTCCGGTAGTAGAACAAGTTGCCGGATTTGAGGATTACCATGTCCTCCCCCTCTCTTCAGACCTCAGATAATCCTTATATATTCCAGCGCAACTTGTTTATCTTTTCTTCCAGCTCCAGGATTTTCTCGTCAGTCCTCAGGGTGCATGCGTTATGTTGCCAGATCGAGTCGTCTAAGGTGGCAACCGAACCTCCACCGGAGATTCTTAGTCTCATCATAACAAACATAATTTAAAATTAAAAATTTTGTACAGCCGACTTCAATATAAGTTATTAAGAATAACTCAAAAACTATTGGTCTGACCTTGATCAAATTCATATGGGACCACACGAGATGTATCAGCTTTCATATAAAAAAAGAATCATCAAAATCGGTTCACCCAGTAAAAAGTTATGAGGTTACACACATAAAAAAAAAATACAGTCGAATTGAGTACCGTCTCCTTTTTGGAAGTCGGCAGAAAACAAGGCCAAACTTGGCACATCCAGTTCTACTCTTCGAGGAGTTCCAGTAGCATTCACCGAAGTACAATTTCAGGTCATTCTATCAAGTCTGGAGGTAAGGTCTCATCGTAACTAACAAAACGAGGCTAAACTCAGCACACCTAGTTCTCTCTGAGGAGTTCCAGTAGCATTCACTGAAGTACACCTTCCGGTCATTCCATCAAATCCGGAGGTAAGGTCTCGTCATAACTAACAAAACTAGGCCAAACTCGGAACACCAAGTTCTACTCTTTGAGGAGTTCCAGTAGCATTCAAAGTTTCAAGATTTCTCATCCGAAAAAAATTAATTATAACTAAACAAAACAAAAAATTAAACTGCCATTTACATTCCATGGCCTCCCACATGATAGATGAAGAGATTAAAAAATAGATTGAGTTAAACAATTGATATTTTCAAAGTTATTGTGTTTACCACTCCATGCGGACTTGATAAATCTACACCATAAGCCACTAAAACCACCTTTTTTTTACATAAAAATAGCAATGAATCAATTTAAAAAATATATTAATAAGTTCAACAATCATTTATCTTTCTAACAATGTTATTTTTATATCATTTATAAGTTCAATATGATTGTTAGATACAATTTTATGCAACAAAACATTGGAATCTTGATTTTTAGGTGCTGTTAGAACATACCTACGCCCTTTGTGCTTTAGGCATGCAACATATAATAACAATTTGTGTTTAACGGGTAAGTACTAAACAACAATCTTATCACTATTTTGATTATAAAATGTCACTTAATATTTTTTATTAAAATAATAAAAAATATTAAGTGACATTTTTAAATACATAAATAATAGCTTCTTTTACTACAACCTACTTTACACTTTGCAACAAAATATATATTATAATAAAACATAGAAATAGATAGTTTTATTATGTACAATAATTGTTTATTGTTAAATTGTTAATTTAATTTATGATAAATGTTACATTTATAGATGAGATAAATGTTACTACTCACATGTGCTTCCTGTCTGGATATAGTTTGTCACCCCATGGATATTTAGTATCTCTATGTCCACCACGACAGGCAGCTTCCCATTCAGCTTCAGTGGGCAAACGTGCACCTCTCCAGGTGCAGTATTTATGAGCATCATTCCATGACACATGAATTACTGGATGATCCATTATATCTAAAAAGGTTATGGTAAAACACTCAATACGTATGTACCACAGCTGAGCTCCCACTTCTTCTCCTTTCTAAAAGGGCTTGAGGGTAAGGAAGTGTCCACCTCACTGCCCCAATGTGTTTGTGGAGTTCAAATGTCTTTGAAATATATCACTAGTGCCATGAGCATGGAACAAGCTTTACTCACGTTTTACGGCGCGGTTAGCCCCTGAGCTACTATGGCTCATATATAACGGGGGACAATTATAAAAAAAAACATAAAAAATTGCATACTCCAATAAAAAGGTTAAAACAAACAATTCTAAAATATACATAATGCACTTACCAGCAATGTCAGAATCAGGACCATAGGGATGCTTCCAATCTGCACCATATATTTTATACCACCACAGAGCTTGCACAACACGAAAGTCCTTCATTTTATCTTTAAATGTGTTGTTGAGGAACAGTGAAAATACAAAACTATCTCCAAAATTCTCTGCTTCAGTCTTATAGTTTGTTAAAATGGTAAAATAACTAAAGTCCCTGTTTGAAACTTCATATTTGTCTAAATAAAATGGTTCTAATTTTATAATCCTCTTCGGTCCTTCCTTATCATTTTCAATAACTACATCGTCTGAACCAACCTGATACTCATTAGCAGGTATTAAAACCATGTCAACTGTAACATTATGCTCTTCGGTGAATTTAATATTACTATCAGCGGGACATTTATCGTCTTCACTTTGTAGATTATTAAAAACTAACTTACTATCAAAGTTTACCACTTGTGTTCGATCAACATTGCAACCACAACTGCTCTCTTTACTTTCAGTTAAACTTAACTGCAAAATACACAGTGATAAAAGCCTAACTAACATTTTTTCTACTCTTTATTTCTTATCTAAACTACAGGTAAAAATCCACAATACAAATACATACATATACTAAACTAACACTAATCACTAAACGTCACTAAATGTCACTAAATGTCTAAAGTTTATCTAAACAAACTGAAACAAACCAAACAAACTATTTTTTTTTATTAAACTGGCTTTATGGCTCTGGTTTCTAGCCCTTCTGAGGCTAAAACAAACTAAAACAAACAATGATTCACAGACTAATATTGATGGATCATAATCATATGACATATGACAGAGAATATAATCACTTTGTTTTATATGTTTTATAGATCATATGGTCCATAGATATAGTATTAATATACTATTTATTATCTATGATATGATCATTATATGACTATCAATTAGTGTTACCAGATGAAAATTGCGAACTAACGTGTCAGAGACTAAAATTGCCGTGTTTATGTATAATTGTCTTAGATTAATTTTTAAATTACAGTGTATATTGCCGTCTCAATGTAAAACTAAATACAGCGTTATTGTGATATTTTTTGTTAGAAATTAATTATTCTTGCAAAACTCCCACTTGGTTATAAACTGACGAATACATTTTTTAAATCATGCCTTTCGATGGCGTAATATCGACACAATTCTTGTTTCGGTGAATAGATTGTTTAGCCAGTGTTTCCCTTTATAGTTTTCGCAATCAGTCTATTTCTTTTCTACGTTTTATGTCATTTACTTGACTGAACAGTCTCGTTGGAGTGGCACAAGAACTGAATGTTCAACATAAATGTAGGCAAAAATTTAAATATATTTTTTTTCCACTTTGGTCCTTCAGCTGAGCTATCAGTTTTGATTAAAAACATTGTTTAACTGTGAGGACCATGAAAGAGGCGATTAAAATAATTTAAAATTAGTATGATATAAAATATAACCACTTATTTTAATTTTTTTTTGTAATATTTACGTCAACACCCAGCTCTTGCTATTTTGGAGGATTTCGGTCCAGTTTCTGTATCAGTCTCGTAACTATCACTATCACTTTCATCACTGCACATTGTGATATCATATTGTACGATTTCGTAAATAAAAATAATATTTTATGCACCAGTAAACAGCATGAAACTGTAATGATATTCCATACATTTATTAATATACTACTCATTTAATTATAAGTAATACAAAAGAAAAAGCCACAGCCAGATAATATTTTTCATTTTGCTGGATTATATTACCTGACTGGCAATAAAATGTTAGGGTTTCCCGAACAGCGGCGGTCGGTGTTGCTGATTATAGTTGTGTATCGCTAGCGACGCAAAGTCGGGAATTTGTATTTGGAAAAATCCAAAATTAGGGGCTTTTTAGGTGCTAATTAGGTGCCAAGTTTAAAAATTAGGTGCTCTAAAATTTTCAGCGCAACGAACTGTTGAAATTTTCGTTGCTAGCAAAACGTCTCGCTAGCAACGCAATGAAGTTATTAGATATACGATAAATATTAATTGCAAGGAATTAAGTGCTAATTAGGTGCTGCAAGTATACGCATGACAAGGCGCCCTACATATAATATATTTACGTTTGCTTAATGAATTTTTATCATTTTGGATTAAAATTAAAATATTATTTACATGGTACGTAATTCCTAAATTTCCCACCGAGTAAATATTTGTTTATTATGAAAGAAAACAATAGGTAATAGGTATTGTTGCGCGCCTCTATTAATGTCTTGTACATGGCAACACTAGTTACCACCAGCGCCCTCTAGTGTCGAGTAGCAGAACTAGGAGAGTCAAGATCTTTCTAGAAATTTCGGGTCCGATATGTACTCGAACATTCTAGATGCCGCTACAGTAGAAGGTTCTGGAAACTATCTAAGGTCCTATATAAGGCCAGTATAGACCACGACCGAGGCAGTATTGAATTGACGATATAAGCGAATATTTCGAAGTGATATAACTACAACTAAAGTGATCAGTAGTACAATTGTGTTTATTATTAGTGTGGTTTTAAATAGTAATTAGTGATCTGTAATTAAAGTGTCAATTTTGGTAATTCACTCGGCAGTTTTAGTTTTCTCAAACCCCAAGCTCGTAACAATTGGTGTCAGAAGTGGGATCAAATCATGCCGATTTTACCAAAGGACGACATGGAGGGTATCCGTACCCGAAGTCAACGCCAGCTGGAGACGGACCAGAGACGATTTGGTAATGCTACGCCTCAAACGTCGGAGGGCCAGCTACTGATCACGGAGGCCGGCTCGTCAGCAGCTTCTGCATCTGCAGCACCTGACTTAGGTGCTCTGATGATGATGCTGCAGGATCATGCTCGCCGACAGGAGGAACAGGTCCGCCGACAGGAGGAACAGACCCGTCGGTTGGAAGAGCAGCTCAAACGCTACAAGGAAGAGCAGATGCTCTACATGAAGGACCTTCACGCTACCTTCGAGAAAGAGATAAAGGAGGTGAAGGATAGGGTTGCTCAATATGACAAAAGACGAATATCTTAACTTGCATAATCTGCACAGTTGGCAGCGAACAAACCGGGTAAACTAAATGGAGCCAATTATTTAGAATTTCTGCAAAATGAGCTGCCCCATTTATTAGAAGATGAGCTACTAGCCATCCGGCGAAGAATGTGGCTCTAAAATGATGTTTGTCCGGCACATTACGCCATCCAAGTAAGGAGTTACCTGAACGAAGCCAACCGTGACCGGTGGATCGGCCGAATGGGACCAATATTGTGGCCACCAAGATCACCTGATATTAACCCATTAGATTTTTTGTTGTCTCGCTCACACAGCTTAGAATTCGTCCAAACAAGGCGAGCAGGTAGTAAAGTAAAATTTTCAAGGGCGACAAATGTACTTACCTAATAAAGATATGCAATGTTTAAAAAAAACTATCTGCCAATAATTTTGTAATTTTGTAATGAAATGCCTACTTTTACACATTAACGGTTATAGCTCAGTAAGTAATGACATTAAGTACATGGTATGCTAATGGTTTAGAATTCTTATGATATAGGCAAACTTTTAAATGGTTGGCCACAGAGATCTTATACGTTTCTTTTCACCACAGTTGCTCAAACTTAGCAGTTAAATAAAGTAAAAAATTTAAACTTATATTTAGTGCCGTCTTGTAAAATACTACCCATAGTAGTTGAAAACTTTTAAGGGTAATTTAGAAACATCATTATTAGCGAACACATTAAAAGAAAAAAATCCGATCTAGGCATTAAACTGCGGACGTGATGACCACAAGTGTGAGCAGAAGTACGAATTTTCGGAATTTTATAAAACATAGCGTAGACCGCGAACCGTTTGGGGTAGAATTTTTTTTAGGGAACCGAGGCCACCTTCCCCCTGCCCGAACACGTACGTACCAGATTATCCACCATTACTGGGACAGTCTGTATATGTAGGTATATTACCTATCTAGGTATTTCATAAATTATAATGATAAAACGTCATTCCTACATAATTGTTGCGGGGATGGATGCTTAATGAGCTAACAAAAGGATTCAGATAATATATCATTTTTTAAGTTACTGAAGGATAATGAAAGGTGAATTTATTTAATTTTTTATTAGATTGGTACTTATGGCGAAAAAAGAGTGAAGTAATAATTTAACTACAGAAGTGATATTGCGGCGGACATACTAGGTATATTATGTGGGATTATACCTACTGTTACTATACCTACAACCTACAATACAACAAAATGTCACAAACCATTGCCGCGTCGTGGACACTAAAATGTAAACTTTAGGTAGGTACGTCGGTACTAAGAAAACAATCTTGATGGGTCACTTGTCTTGATAAAAACCTGTGTTTATGTTTAGTGATATTGAGTATACAACACAAACACACACAAATACTCACACCTGTCACCCAGAGGGGTAGGCAGAGACTACGGACTTCCATTTGGCGCGATCCTGACACACCTCTCTCGCCTCCTTTACATCCATATATTTACGCATACACGCTCGTCGGTTAAGGGTACTCCTAATCTGGCCCATTTTCAATGTATCGCCGATTTGGTCGACAAATCTTCCTCTAGGGCGTCCCTTCCCGACTCTACCGTCACTTCTGAAACATAAATTTGCTTTGTCACTCTTTCCTCGTTCATTCTTTCTACATGACCAAACCACCGAAGCATTCCTTCTTTAATCTTGGTCACAACGTCATCTTGCAAACCACACTTTTCTCTTATCATACTATTTCTCACCCTGTCATTCAGATTCAGCCCTAGCATACTCCTTAATGACCGCATTTCTACAGCATTTATTCTATTCTCATGCTTCTTCTGCCAGACCCAACTTTCACTACCATACATTAAAGAAGGACTAACACAGCACTATGAATTGCCATACGTGCCTTCTTTGACACATTCTGACAACACGTAACATAATTAACGCACTTTGTGAAAGTAATTTGTTCAGAATCGTTTACTGAATCGGTTTCTAACATTTTTAATATAGGCAATTCTTTTATCCCAAAAATAATTGAAACTACGTAATTTACAGTCACGCCTAAACCTGTACAGTCAAAACAAACTGAAATGGACCGTAACTCAAGGCAATAAGACTTTTAAAAGTCTGCACTTTTAAAAGTCTTTTTATTTGTATTAATACAAATTCCGTCATTCAATACAAAATAAAGAAAATTGTACCTTATTTTAAGTATGTTAAAGTCTTTACAAATACAGAGGTTGGAGTGCCTTATAAAGGTCGCGGCGGCCAGGCCACTGACATCCCAGATTAGCTGATTAGACGCCTCTTGACTTTTTTTATGGGGATGTATTAAATCATTAGTTTACTTTAGTGAGACAACAAGTGCCGAGGACCTAAAAATAGTAATTCTATGAGTGAACGATTTTAGAATAGTGAAAAATGACACTGAATTGCTTTCTAAATTATTTTCTTTCTTTTTTAGAACGTAACCTCCACACTAGGATTTTCTCTTGTATTGTGGGGGCAGTGTTCAAACATAAATTGCACAAGGTCAAACATCCAGACCCGGA